GGACATGCGCATCTCTTCAAGGCGTGGGGGATCAAGCCATAGTTCACCTAGGTTTACTTAGACATGCAGATTCCTCACGATATTTTCCTACGTCGTAAGGCAAGTGGTATCAATTTTGAAAATGATCCGCACATGAAAGTATTAGAGGTATGGGACCCGGGATTTCAATCCACTTTACTCGGTTTTCCAAGCAAGCGCGCCACCACTGAGCTACCACTTCCTGAATTTTAGTATGTTTAAATTTAAAAAAAAAACTTTTTTTAAATGTTTACATATAAAATAACAGTTCGTACATACATTATATAATAAGTATGATAGAGACTACTCTAGTTAAAACTACGTAGCCATTAACGCCTGTCTCCAGATTAATAAAGAGGCATTAGTTCCACACTATGATTTTAATTTTGACTATGATTATGATTTTCTATACTAATATTATAAAGAGGTAAAGTTTGTGACTTTGTGACGTTGTAGCGGGTAATTTCTAGATCTACTAAACCGATTTAGATGAAATTTGGTAAGAAGATAGTTTGTGACCCTGGGATACTTTTTATCCCGTTAATTATCCCTTAAAGGGTCGAAAATGGGGATGAAAGTTTGAATGGGGAAGCAAGCTAGGGACGAATTCGAGCGAAGCGAGGGTGAGTCGCTAGTAGTATATAATGGTGTAAACTTTGATATGTCTATTAACATAATATATAAAACATATTATTATGTATTATACATATTACTACGTTAGTTTTAATGCCAAGTACACATAGATGCAGATGAATTTACGAAGATGATTTCTAACTCTACAATTTACTTTGCCATTAAGACAAAGGAAGCCTAAAGAGGATTCACGTCTTAATATATAGTGACCAAAAACGTTTAAATAAAAGCAAGTGAGTAACATAACTGGCAAATATGAATAAAATTGTAATAACTCCTCGCGTGCACGAGAATATTAATTGAGTGAACTTAGTTTAACCCGGTAACATTTAACTTTAGCGGTGAGCCTGTAACAATGTAGCCATTATTGCACAAACCTAACTAAAATAATATTTTAAATTTCATGAACTCAAATATCTTACTATTCTTAAATTTACGCGGAATATTTGACGTTATAAATAAAACTATATTTTAGTCTCGTTTAATTTTGAGTTTCTGTTCCCGAAGTTTGAATGATTTACAGCAAACATGGTCATGAGCTATGCACATTGCTTTTCAGTGAGAAATTTAATTCATCGAATTATTACTTTTGTTAGTCTTGTTCATAATAGTCTGGTCAAAATAGACATTTCATATAGATAATAAAATTATCTACAAAAATGGTTATAATACTTTTTTCCTAACAATCACCATTCCTAAGATATCGCGATTCTAAAAGTTAAAGGTGTTACATTTTACGTGATGCTGTATATATTTTTATTATCTACAATTTTTGTCTGAACTATATTTTTAATAAAACTTACCGTTTTCGAAAAAAATCCAAAAAACAGAAAATTTTGACCTTTGAATAACTTTTTTAGCATACATGGGATCGAAGGGAACTTTTGACACTTTATTTTTACTGGTGTACATAAGATCTCTACCAAAATTCAGCTCTGTCGGAGTTTTTGTTATTTGATCACTATTTTTATGTCTCATTTGACCGGACTATAAACTTAACGATGTAATAAACACATGACCCTTTACATACAAGCTAGTTACTTCCACTGTGCAGGGTGGGCGTTACTGTGGCTTGTAAGCTCATTCGTAAGTTCCCCATCCATGCTCATTACTATTCACCACATATCTCGATGGGCTTTTGTACTCAAGTACTCCACTCATATCAAAATGCGATTAGCCGCAGTGATACAGTGTGGAGCGCTGCATTATACAGGCAGTTCAGTAAAGCTACAGGCTTCCCTCCTTACCTGTTAACATACTATTTGCTTGTATAGTGTAAAGTGTGAACCACTTACAATCTAAAGAATCTTTGTCGTTACATTCTCTATACACTTGTGGTGGGCGATAACATGTAACACTTTTTTAGTAGATACATTTCAGGATAGTTTATTTAAAATTACAGGCGTCACACTTGTTTTAATATTGAAAATTCAATGAAATACAATTATTAAAATTTCTGAAATATGTATGTACATAAAACAAACACGTTTGTTAAAAAAGTTTCATATTTAAGTTTTTAGCCTATTTGTCGATTTTACAGGTTCAACTATTGCTCAAATATTGAATATGGATGACGCTAAATAATGTATTCGTATCAATGAATACTTCAATTCAAGTAAAGACAATTAATTATATGTTTGTTTTTATCATAAAAAAACAACGTTCATATATTAAAATATTTATGTACGAAGGAAACATTGTTTTGTTAAATAAGCTTTAAAAGGTTATGCATAAAAGCTCAAGAGAGCTTTAGTGTATGAAGCGAAATCGGTGAGATGCATCTGAGCTAAGTTAACACCGGAATAAGTGAGAGGATATTAAATTACTTGATCGGGCTCCTTCCGGCGCTCGCATCCGGCTCCGCGCTGCTCTCTTGAGCCTGCTTGCATTGTGATGAAATGTTTTATAACTAGTGCATAAAAAGGTATTTTATAAATCAAAAATACCTCTAAAGGTCTATTTGAATGTAGAAAGTTTCTTATTTTAATAACATTTGTTACTTCAACCAATAAAATATCCCTAAGTGGTATAGTTCATCTAAATCGGTTCAGTACATCCAGATATTACCCCCTACAACCTTACAAACTTTATCTCTTTATAATATTAGTATAGATTTTACGTATACATATGTATGTATATAATTAATGTACTAAATAAATAAATAAGATCCGTACCATCGTGTAAAAGTCATAAAATGCTAAAACTGAGCCTCACATATTCTCTCGTAAAATATCTATAAACATCGATACAGAGATAATATAGACTTCGATTAATTTATTATTCATGTCGTAAACGCCTCGGAAATAATAACAGCTTCTAAGCGACGACACTTAGAGGATGGCATAAAATACCAGTAAAATATCAATCACAGCTTACGACTTTGTTCTGATTACTGCGTTATCACGAACATTTGGGATATTGTAGTCATAAACCCATGGTTTACTTCGAGGTTTAATGTGGTATGGGAAATATTGCTAGCACTAAAACAAGAATAAGGTAAAATTATTACATTTCCAACTAACTTGCTGTTCATGTTTCAAACGTTTTTTTTTACGAGCGTATACGTTTGTATGGAAAAGTTTACATAAAGTAAATAAAAGAGTAGAACTAAGAATAAACTCTTAAATCAAACAAAAGCTCTACCAACATCTAGATAGAGAATGCCTCAGACCTACTGACGATCAGGGGCCTTACCATGAACTCTAATATCATGAATACTATAATCTTACTTTGACTTTTCGTACCATGACTTCTTAAAAGCAAGGTTATTACCTATATTAATGATTGTCAAATATTATTTATCATATAAATAACCATTAACAAAAAAAGACATTGGTAAGAACGTATCGACACGTCTCATCAGTATACTTAAAAGCTCAAATAAGCTTTATGTGAGGATGATAAGGCCCAATTAGTAAATAATGTGCAAATATAATGTTAGCACAATTCATCCCCAAAGATCGCAAAGTGTAGAAGGCCGAGTGCCGCCGCGACGCCGCGCCGGCCGCGCTCGCAACAAGTGGCGCCGACGTGGCGACCTGTGTACTGGTCGTATAGGGTGCCCATATTACACGTACAATAATGTCAGATAGAGATGGATAAAATATGTTTTCATAGAGTATTAAGATACGGATAGCACATGTGGTTTTGAAATGAATAGATTTACATGAATATTATGTTTATTTTTTTTTAAATATACGTATATAATGAAGGATACATTTTTTGAAATACTAGCGCCTCGTGCTAGTTTTGTTGAATTCAATTTTTCACCTGAATTTATCTGTTTTTTTTTTTAATTCATTTTGGCTCTTAAATACGATGTGCCCATTTTTTTAGGAAGTAGACTCGTCTCTTTGTTCATATTTCTATATATTTAGGAGTAGAGATGAAGTCGCCCTACATTGATGTTTATTGATGAGAGCGAGGTGAAGGCGCCGCGGCGGGCAGCGGTGCTGGCCGCGGCGCCAAACTTCGCTGTTTACTCAATTACCGCCTTAACTTACAACAACTGTGTACCATTGCCTTACAAAGTATAAAATAAATTCTACTAGTTTTAGCAAAGTACCAACTTTTACCAACTGGTACACAAAAATGGTAAAATAATCCGGAAAATGTTTTATAAACTCTTCTAATGTCAATGTGTAACTAAAAAGAGGTTTATTGATATGACGTAATACAATTCATTGAAAGAACTTTCATTGTCCTTATTTTTATTGTCCTTTTTTAAATATTGTTAAAACTTCTCTATATTTTTTCGAACATAATGTGCAATGTGCATTGAATTCATTTGTATCCAGGGTGTTGCTTTTAGTAAATATCATAAAATTAAATAACGCTTAACAATAAACGATTATCGTCTTAACAATATTTTTTGAAGAAACTCGCTTAGGATTAATATCTATACATACTTACATATGTAAAATAAAATTGTAACTAAGCCGAACCTGTACATTAATTATTTTTTGGAAAATCTTTTTGAAATAGTCATTATTATCGATACAGAGGTCGAATCTATAGTTTTTTTATTATTTTTGTCTGTCTATCTGGGAAAGAAAACCACTGGACAGATTTTGATGGAATTTTATATCCGTTATCCGGGTCAACATATAGGATATTTTTTACTGCAGGAAATATCTCCTCTCTGAGAAATCTATACTAAATGTTAAAACGTATGTAGGGACGAACCCGGGTGGGGCGAGGGTGAGTCGCTAGTCAATAAATAAAATACTTAACAATAAAAGCAGTATACATTTAACTGAACACACTACAGATTTACAAAAGCTAAAATTGTAACAATTTCTCGTACCGATTTATTATTTCCTGTGTAAGTGCACTTGGTGTTGTTGCAGGACGCGGCCCAACCACCCCGGCGCCGTGGTCGACGTCAGCGAGAACCCTCTCGACGCCAGCAAAGTAAGCTTCTATTTTACTTACATCTATTATAATAATTTATAACTTTTCTGTAGAACTACGAGTATTTTGATAGCAGGTTAGTAAAAGTGGTATTAATTACGTAAGTTAAGTGGTATGTTAACCTTTTGAACTCGCATTTTTTGTGTATAAAAGATATTCAATATTCTATTGTATACTTAATAATTAATATACAAGCTATTACCCGTGGCACTGCTCGCTTGCGTATAAAGAATAGTCGATTACGACGCCTCTTCTCCAAATCGTCTCTCGCCAGTGAGTCCCCGTTAAATTAATTCAACCGTTGCGTTGAATTGCAGATACAAATAGATAAACAAATATATAAAAATAGTGTTTGTTTAGGAGTTTGTTATTTTTTAAACTTTATCAAACAACTTATTTTTGTGGCAATCATTTATAAAAGTCAATCTATTGATTTAATACTTCCTTTTGTATGCACGGCCGATTTGGGTCAAACCGGGTAATGTCCAGCGCCATGCTCTATATGTACCCGAATGAAAAATATCTTTCTCTATATACTTGTAATATTGATGAATTCTCGCCTGTCTGATTACTCGCTTATCCTTTTGAAATTTTTATTGTACAGATAGCAATTTGCATAAAACACTAAGCAAAATTACATTTTAATCGGTCTAGTAGATCCAACAATACAGCTTGAGCTCGACGTATGTAGTACTAAGCGCTCTTATTTCAAGCAAAGATTATGTTTAGAGTCCGTGGATTAAATAGAATACTAAATAAAGCTGAGCAACGTTGTACATAGTAGCTTATTGTATATATAGATTTTATACTTGTATTTACATACATATATATTCCTTCTAAACTACTCTTTATAAAGAAATAAATAAATATCTCAGCATAGATACTAAACGTCTAAACATCTAACCCCAACACCAGACATACTTTTAGTGGTACTGCTAACATTTTTAATCAATAATGATTATATTATCTTACTCTATTCGTAATATCATCAAATTTTCAGTTAGTAATCGCATTTGAAAGCGGTCTGGTTGTGGTGTGGGACCTGAGATCGCGAATGGCGGAGTGGAGAGGAACCCTAGGCACGGGCGGGCCGGGGGACGCGGTGCGGGCTGCAGCATGGCAGCATGATGGGAAGCTGATGACTGCTCATGCTGATGGGGCGCTGGCTACCTGGAGCATGCGGGCTCCGAGACCCATGTCTTTGTCATATCCACATGGTTAGTAAGAGCTATAGCCTGTATGATTTTGAGAGTTTCTATCAGTTCAAGAATCTCAAAACGAAAAACGAAAAAATTATTGATACTTAAAATTTCTCAGTATTCAGCCCTTTTTATCGTCCCACTGCTGGGCACGGGCCTCCCTTCAGTACGAGGGGAATCAGGCCATAGTCCACCACGCTGGCCAAGTGCGGGTTGGCGGACTTCACATGTCTTTCGATAACTTGCTAAGTTCTCTGAGACATGCAGGTTTCCTCACGATGTTTTCCTTCACCGTAAATAGTACTTAAAATGTCTAACTATATACAAAACCAATACAATAAACCTCTATACCTATCCTCGATGACGTCGCCCTGTAAATTTCGCATATCACTTGCTCCCTTGTATGTTATCTCTATCACAGTATATCAATTACCGTTACAAGAGCTGACCCAGATAGGGATAAGAGCTTATGTTAACCAAGATGTGCCTCTTAGCATATCGTCGTACGAGCAAAATGCATCAGACAACTAAGCGTGAGGTCTCCGAAACCCCGCTACAATTAAATTCTTGGAGAGTTGCTGAGTTAGATACAAACTCCTTGCTAATTGAAGGAATTACATGAGATACATTTTACAAAGGCGTATTAGATTCGAATTTACATTAATTTTATTTAATGATTTATTGGATTGGTAATATGTAAAGGAATGTCTGTAATGTAATCAAAGCAAATTAACCGTTTTTAGAATCTTTATTATTATATTTTTATTTAAAAGATATTTGTTTTTGTGCGCGCGTCGTCTGATTAAATAACAAGCTTATTATGCAGATCTGAAGAACATAATATATGTATAAGCCGTTCTTACACGTTTCCCGAAAATACAAACGTCATAATAGAACCTATGTAAAGTTTAACAATTTTTGTACAAACCATATTGTTTTCATCGCCTGTCATAAAACATATTTAAATGTATTGGAAAAATAATTTATATTTTTGAATCTATACTAATTCAGCACCATAAAAAAGGATGCGATGAGCTGCCTCTATTCCTAAAAATATAAAAAAGTATAATAATAATAATAATAATGTATTTTTCATCGGCAATTAATTTCCAGCAAAAGCAAATAAGGACGGGAAACCGGAACCATGCAAACCTATCCTTAGACTGGAGTGGAAAACATCGAGGACGGGGTGAGTTATGTAAACTTTGATAAAAAAATTAAAAAACGTTTAATCAACTAAGAAGTTAGAGCTTTTCATAGATCCATTAAATGTTATCTAGCGATTAAGTTAAAAACTGACTGAATATAAGTGAGTCGATCGCACTATTTAACTCATATATCTGTAATTTCTAACATAATTTTCATTCGATATTAATAATTTTTGCCTGATGGTTAATTTAAAAAAACCATATGTCTAACCAAAAAATTTCATAATAAACTATTTTCATATACATTATTTCATATGGAAATTTAATTACTAATTGCCGCGTGTCATTTGCTCTGATGAAGCAATTACCGACAGTATTTGTAAGCGGACAATTTAATTATAAAAGTTCATAACGAGAATAAAATAACGTGGGCATTTGTTAATTTTATATTGTAGCCGGATTCTTCAAAAATGTTGAATTTTAAAAATTCATTTGTTTTATCTCTACGGTGACATTCACGTTGTTGAAAATTTTACACAAATTTAAAATTGTTCATTTTTTATACCTAAGGAACAAAAAATAATAGTAGTCTTCTTATAAGGTTACTATAATCGTACTACTTTTATAATTGAGAAAGTTTGTATGTGTGTGTGTTATTCCTTCACGCTGAAACGGATGGACCGATTTGGATGAAATTTTGTCGACAGACAGACTATCTGGAGACATAGGCTACTGTTATGGCTCTAGGGAGGCACTCGGGCGAAACGCGGGCAACTCGTTAGTAATTAAACTAAATAAATATTAAAAAAAACAATTATAGTGTGCAGATTACAAATATTTAATCAATATTTGGGCAACGTGTCTGTGTCTTTCCAGCGAGAGCCTGGTTATGTTCTCTGGCGGGCTGCCCACGGACAAGGCGGGGCGCACGCACAGCATCACCGTGCTCAACGGCAAGAGCACCACCGTGCTGGAGATGGAGCACAGCGTCGTGGACTTCGTCACACTCTGCGAGAGTCCCCATGCTGCGGGTCTGAACTCTAATCATACTATTGTCTATTGTTATATATGCGATAATTTGTACGTATGTGTGTATGTGTGATAGTTTTTCACGCCGAAACGGCTGGACTGATTTGGATTAGATTTAGAACTAGATGAGCAACAAAAGTATTACGCGAAGTTTCCAAGAATTTTGCCAAAGGCACAATACCATTAATGTCTTTACCAATATTAAGTAATATAAATTTAAACCTGCAAGGTAACATCGGGCTACCGTGCCGTTTTGCATAGAAATGTTAATGAGGAGAAAAAATACAGGGGTCACTGTGGCCCTGTTGTAAATACTACGAGTACGTAGGGCCGCGCCTGTGAAAAACAAAGACATGACACTAGTTACTTATATTTACATTGCACATAAATACACATTATAATTACACAAAATGTTTCGACTTCAATTATAGAAGAAGTCATATTTTTAATATATTTGTGCAGATCACTAAAAAGGCTAAGAAATCAAAAATTTCGTAATAAGGATACTAAGTTAGAATTAAGAAGATCTCATTTAAGTTAACGTCAAATTTCCAGATTACCAAGAGCCGTACGCGATAGTGGTGCTCCTGCAGAACGACCTGGTGGTGATCGACCTGCTGTCGCCCGGCTACCCCTGCTTCGAGAACCCCTACCCCATGGACATACACGAGTCGCCCGTCACTTGCTGTTGCTACTTCGCTGATTGCCCCTCGGATTTAGTAAGAAAATATTAAAGTAACACATTACGAGCTACTTTTGGAACGTCGAACCCTTATTTTCTCCCGAAACCATGTTTGCTATAAAGCATTCGAAACGGCGGGCACCAAAAACTCAATTAAAACAACGAAAAAATAGTTTTGCTTAGAACATTATATAGCATTATGGCCTTCCGAAATATGTTGCTCTTACTGCGTGGACGTCGAAAGTTTTCTCGTTTACGGATAGCATCATTCGGTTTTATGGTTGGCAAGGCTAACTCAGAACGACACACTTTTAATGTTAAATTATGTACTTGATTTCTTTTTTTTTAAATATTATATATTATTAATAACAGATTTACATCAATTTCCGAATTTTGAATAAACTAGAATAAAATTTTCCATCAAGTCTAAAACTACCCACCACCCGGCGAGAATTTTAAAATATGTTAATAATAGTTGTATACAATATTCTAAATAAAAACTACGTTTAGAATCTATATTCTATATAGATATTGAAATTATTTTCAGATTCCAGCATTCTACTCGGTCGGTCGGCAAGCGAACAAGAAGGCAGCCGGTTTCAGCGAGAAGCTTTGGCCGATCAACGGCGGCGAGTGGGCGCCGGCCTCGTGCTCCTATAGTGAAATCATACTTACTGGGTATCTGTCTTATATATAATATAAATGCTTATTATTATTATCTTTTGAAGAGATGATTATTATTCATGTAATGTTTTATCTTTCAGGCACGCAGACGGTAGTGTTAAGTTTTGGGACGCGAGCGCAGGGACCTTACAAGTTTTGTACAAATTAAAATGTTCTAAAGGTAAATTTATATTTTAATAAAGATACATTGAAAAAATCTTACTAATATAATATTTTTCATTGCATTTTAAAAAGTACCATCCTAACATATAGCCAGCTAATATAACGCGCTCAGTTCTAAAACTAAGAGATAGAAATTCACACCCCGAGTTTATGAAAGAAAATAACGCGAGTTAAAAACCTATCTAAATAACGTCTAAAAATGTCAGTACTAGTTGCCAACCCTCCACGACCGCGGACACGCCGGCGTGTCAGTTAACAAAAGATTTCTTAGAATTTTAATTAATTTCTTAGAAATTTACCTGGAGGTGTTAATTTCCGACAACTTACGCTTGACTAGCGTGTTGGACTACTCACTCACATCGAGGCCAGTGTCTACCAGTGGGATGTTTTTTTTTGAGTATGAGACTTGCCACGACGTTTATCTCTTTTTTTTTGATACAAGTTACAATATTACGTTTTTGTTTGAAAAAGGATTTAAGAAAGAATACAATGCAAAATATCTCAATGTCAATAATGAATTTAGAAGACCGTTCTAGGGAGTTAATACGATTTTTGGTTAGAAGAAAAGTAGAAAAAGGTGCATACTACCGTTAATAGCCGTGCTACTCGTTCCAGTGTTCGAGCGGCGCGGCGGGGCCGGGGGCGGGGGTGCGGGCGGGGGCGGGGGCGGGGGCGGCGCGTGGGAGGAGGACGCGCCGCTGGCCATCCAGCAGGCGGCGCTGTGCGCGGAGTCGCGGCGGCTGTGCGTGGCGCTGCCGCACGGACACGTCGTGCTCTTCAAGTTCCGCAAGACCGAAGTGCACGCGGAGACGCATGTATGCGCTTGTGCTATGTACACACTTCTAATGCGGCCGTCACAATAGACGAGAGATGATCGAAGTTATACTTACAAATCTATATAGATAAATAAAATTGAAGTATCTGTTTATAATGTCAAAATAATAGCGTTTTACTGAATGCATATGAAATAATATGTACATATATGGTAGTTATAAGAAAAACACATTTTTTTTAATTTTTTATCTGTGTGTCTGTCTGTCTGTTTGTTCCGGATACTTTCTGAAACGGCTGAACTGATTTTGACGGGATTTTCACTGGAAGATAGCTTATGTTATAGGGAGTGACAAGGTTACTTTTATTTTAGAAAAGGACACTTGTGACGCAGTCCGCTAGTCCGCACTAGTACGCACAGGCGCCTAAATAAAAGGTCGCCGACGACTGTCTTGCACCCCATAATCCCATATCCCATATAAATATTATATATGCGAAAATTTGGATGGATGTATGTTTGTTTGTTACTCAATCACGCCAGAACGGCAGAACAGATCTGGATGAATTTTGGCACAGAGTTAGATTATAGTCTGGAATAGTATATAGGTTACTTTTATCCCAGAAAAATGTACGGTTCCCGCAGGATAGATTTGTTTTTTTACAGAGCAAGGATCGACTATCTATTCCATACTAACCGTTAAATTGAATATTATATGACAGTTGGGAAACAGCTTTAGACCGGACGGGATTGTAGCTTGTCACGAGACTACTGCCCTTTAACATCGAACCCGTTCGCCTTAAAAAAAAATATTTTATGACCCCTTCATTTGATGTATTTCGGGTAAAATAGAAGTCCACAGCCTATTTATTGTATGGATTTTTAAAATTGTGCCTATGATCTAACAAATGTAATTTCATGGGATTAAAACCTTACCCACTGTTCATGGAATTCTTATCACGTACAATTTTGACGCCATTAAAAAATATTAAGTAAAACTTGTAACAGTAATCGTTATAAAGAAATATATTTAAGTTTAATGTTTAATTTGAAGAGATTTTATATAAAGCTTTGGTAAATATTCTGATTTCCAGGTGGTAGAAATCCCAGTAATAACGGACGCGGTGGAAGAGGAGACCTCCCCCGAGGCGGAGGGCAGCCGCTCCGCCTCCTTCAGCCGCGGCGGCGATGGCGTGGAGGGCGAAGGGAGACGGGTCAGTTTAGTCATGTGATGCATATACATATTAGAAAATTATATTCAGCCCTTTTTTTAACGTCCCACTGCTGGGCACGGGCCTCCCTTCAGTACGAGGGGGATCGGGCAATAGTCCACCACGCTGGCCAAGTGTGGGCTGACTGAGCATGTCTTCGAAAACTTGCTAGGCTCTCTCAGACATGCAGGTGTGGCGAATAGTTATTATACGTTCTTTCGTTTAGCCGTTTTAAAGAGAAAAGGAAAAAGTTAAGTTGATACATATCATATAAGATTATTACATTTTACTCATTATTAAAACTGATGCAAATAATTCTATTGGAGTTAGTTTTAATTTCTCCCATACTCCAAACAGGTTTCCTAACGATGATTTCCTTCATCGTAAGACAAGTGGTAATCATGTTAGAAATAATTCGCATATAATTAAAAATAGAATTTAACTTTGCACTAAATTTCCGATCCAATTTTTTTCTTTTATAAGATTTAGGATCACTTTACTCTATCTTAGCATTTTTTGAAATTCATCTTATAAGAGGGTAAAATAGGACCTGAAAGTTTGTATAAAACTATATTTTTTTAAAAAAATTATAGTCTTAGCAGTAGCAAGGGAAGCCGCGAGTTCTGCTAGTTAATAATAATTACTTAATAATCCAGGATCATACCAAAGCGCTGTCATATCAGTTCTATAATAAAAAAATTGAGACGTCGAAAACGTCTTTGCTGTAAAAGATTCGAAATATCGAAAACAAAAATTCAGAATAAAACCGCGACGAATTCCAAAAAGGATTTATCTCAAAAGCAATCTCAATCAATTGGTCCATAACTGAATAACCAAAATTGAATAGAATTTAGATATTCTAAAAAGATGCATGTTAAAATTTTCGTAGTAAAATTGTTTATATCTTTACATATTAATATTTGCCGTCATAATGATAATTTATTTGAAAATATAAATTTGTTCATTGTTGTGTTAATCTATATAGATCAATAAAAAAATAGAAGTGTCGGACTGTTTGTAGTGTCAAAATAACAGCTTTTTACTAAATTCCTATGGAATTATATATGGTATTTATAAGAAAAATACATTTTTTTAAACTTTTGTCTGTCTGTCTGTTTGTTCTGGCTAATCTCCGAAACGGCTGGGCTGATGTTGCCAGGACTTTCACTGCCAGATAGTTGATTGTTATAAGGAGTAACTTGGGCTACTTTTATTCAGTAAAAGAATAGGATGCCGCTCGAAAAAATTAAAATGTACCGTAGGGATACAGCGTATGTGTAGAGAGAGACTCGCCCGGTGAGTCGCTAGTGTGTTATATTCGGATGCCGGCAGTGCGGGCCGTGGGCGGGCAGCGCGCTGCGCGTGCGCGGCGGCGCGGGCTCGGGCGGCGCGCGGCGCGCGGCCGGCTTCCAGGCCGCGCTGGTGGCGCTGCAGCTGGGCGCGCCGCACCCCGTCACCGCGCTCACGCTCAACTCCTCCTACGGCCTGTGAGTACACCCATCACTGCCCCGTCTTTCCCTTGCCGTCGTGACGTGTCTGAAACTTCTAGGACTTTTTAAAATCAGCAACTCCTCATACGGCCTGTGAGAACGCCCTTCCACTCACTTGATCGTCGATTTGGTCTAAAAGTTTTAGGATTTTTAGGTAACCTAACCTCAAATCTTCCTACGACCTGTCAGTACGCCCACTATTTTCTATCTCTTGTTACTGCAACTTTGTCCTTAGAATTTGTGGAAAACTAAATCAATATTTAAATTAAATGTAGATATTATTTAGTACATTTTTTTATGATTATATGTTTAAAATTATAAAAAGTATAAATTTCTTAACAACTTAAGTATTTGAAAACTGTAACAAAAATAACAAACCAAACAAAAGTGTCAATATGCGGCAAACCTCCCACCCCCTCCCGTCTAGCATGGCGTGGGGCGGCGAGCGCGGCGTGGTGGTGGTGGACGTGTTCCGGCGCAGCGTGGTGGCGGCGCTGCCGGCGCACGCGCTGTACCTGCCGCCCGAGCCGCACGCCCACGCCCAGGCCCAGGCCCACGCGCGCCACGACCGGCGCTCGCCGGACCTCGACCAGGTAACTCCGACACTCTTGGATACACGACACACTAATATAAAAGCCTTGGCTAAATATTTGAAGGTTTTTTTCGTGTGGTTTTAATCAAACTTGCAATTAATTTAAATATCATGCACAACTTATATGTAAGAAAAAACACTATTTATCTCAACAAAACGACATAGTAAATCAAGATTAAAGCAATTATATTATAAATATGTATTATAGTATGTAGTGAAGTCCAGGAAACCACACAAAAGGTATCATTCCAGAATAGGCTTAGATAATGTGTCATTAAAACCTTTGATTTGTCTCATTTCAAGGCAATCTTTTCCGAAGGGAAATTCATCATTTTACTGTATAATGAAGTATAAGGTAAACTTAATATTTACAAAAATTTTGTCAAGTTTAAACAAAATATATTTTTCTCAAGAGTTTAATAACAAACTATTAAATACCCAACAGTTAACAATGCAAGTGTAAAAAAGTTTCTCCCAACATACTCAATGATCTTATCCCACCACTTACTGACTTCAAATTAAAACTGAATAATTTAGAAACTATAAATAAATATGAGTTGCGATCTGTACAGACGTTGACGTATGTAGCTAGGAATATAGTATTTCATTTGAACACTATATCGATAAAGGAAACAATAACGATTTAAGAGGCAATCTTTTCACATTACGTTTGATTTGCGATTTTACTTTGTTATTCTTTGAGTTGCTATGATTAGGGAGAGTTGGCTGCGCTGAAGCTCCCTAATTGATTCCTAATATAGTTATTTTTAATTATTTTTCCTTTAATTTCATAGTATTAGCGCTAATGGCGACCCCCCCGGCTTATCCCCGTAGTGACATTTGGCATGGCATTTAGACGTTTTTACACTCGGCCTGTCTTCACTATTCTTAAACGCCTGTCTACATAGATAACGAGTGCCACTTGATAGTATTACCATATGAGTGCCAATAAGATTTCGGCTGTCGAATTGCCAATTCAAATTTTCCTATCTTTTGACATGTAATAACAGCCCTTCCAACAAATAGTAGAGTATTTTAACTTTATTTAAAAGTAAATGATGAGATTGTTATTTCTACATGTTTTGGAAGGTTTGTTGCTATAATGATGGCTGCGACAGACTTAACATTTTGTCCTCTCTTGATTAAGAGCTAAGCTTCAAAAATTCTGTATTCCCCTGTCCTTGAAGTTGGAGGAGACCCCGGCCAGTCCCGAGCCCGCCGAGGAAGCGCTCCCTGACTCCAAGCTCGATACGCGACGCAAATCGACACCCTGGAAGACTTTCAACTTGAAACGACAACTCTCCAAAGTTGATCTGAAATTAAAAGCTGCCTTCGGTCCTCCGGAAAATGAAGAAATAAATGAAAAAGGCAACTCTCAATTCTATTGTGAAACTGCTGAAACAGAAGCAGCAATAGAGTCCAACACAGACTCACCTGATGGTGACGAGAAGGTTATTGAAGAAGATAAAAGTCAGCTCTCATCACCTTTGCGCGTTTGTTCAGATGTTTTTGAACGAATGCATCGAGAGCTACAAGAGAAACGTTCCTCAGATGTCTATGATAGAATGCATAAAGAACTTCAAGAAAGATGGCAAGACAAGGATAGGAGCGATCCATCTCCCGATATATCGCCGTCCAAAATAGGAGATGACGAAAAAGCTACAAGGCCTGATAATTTGCCACTTTTCGATGAGGACGGGAAACCCATGCGACCGCCCCGTTCCAAGAGCAAGAGAAGCGACAGTGAAAAAAATCAAAGAGATCAGAGGTTACTCTCCGTGCCAAATATTAAATACAACAAGCAAGAGTCCGTAAGAGACTTGCGGAAGAAGCAAGCTCCGCAACAATCGCAGTCGTTTGCGGGGAACTTAATGCGGCGTTTCAGTAAGTATCCACAGGAGCCATATTCACTCTCATCATGTCGTGTCACCAGGGTTGCCTCGTAGCACTAGTCCTCATGTACCATAGCGTAGACGTTGCTCTGGTATTGGAATGGTAATGGTTTGGCGAGTTTTTATATCGTTTACTAATATTGTAGATACAGTTTGAACAGATAGACATTTTGCTCGTAGTGTAGTTACGATTTTTGAAATTTTAAATAACCTAACACGAAGACTAACTAAAAGTAATAAATAATGTAGAATTTAAAGTATCTAAAAGGATATTTATAAACGCGATACATCATGCTTACCGCTTTTTGTGATATTTGGCTTTTTATTTATTTTAAAATAAATATTATACTTATAAATTAGCGTGATAAAAAGTTTATATAATATATAATAATATGTATATTATCACGTGTATAAACAATTCGAACACTATAATGTACTGATATTACATACATGCTTTATTGTGAACAGCCTTATCAGAATATATTAGGTAACGGTGTATTTTTCTTTCCCAAGGACAAGGACTCATCCGACGAGGATTCAAACTGCCTAAAATATCTATTCGGTGATTTGTTCGGTAATTTTTATACCTTAAATATTATTGCATCGATAGTAGGCGTTCAGATCTCTGTGTTGTCGATGTCCGTTTGAGATGATTTTAAAGTAACGAGCTACAGTAGTCGGAATAGATGTGCACTGTCCCCGCTTGGTAGCTTCACATCAGACCATATCGAGCGACCGTCCGGGAACTAACACTAAATAACATCAAATTACTCCAATCTCTTTTTCTGACCGATCTACTTTCCCCAGGAGAGTTTGTAGCTACACTTTGTACGAGAAACGAACAAAATGTCGAAGAAGAAACAATCGAGCAAGTAATAGAAGTACCCGCCAGAATAGGTATGGATCCAGATCAGATCACGGCACAACACACAAACTAACAGAGGGACCGAACTTGTCCGAGACATGCCTGACTAATATCGATCTATCGGCACAGAGATCACATTTCTTCTAACGCTGTGTCCGCGTCGCTGTCCTCAATGTCGACTTCTTCTATATTGTTGTATAAACACGTTTACATCAGGTGGTGGTTTATTAATTTTGTATTATGTTACTTTTTGTTTTATGTATTTCATATGAATTAAAGCATATTTATACTTAATTTATGTATTCACACCGCTTTATATGGGTATATATAGACAATAGGTAGTGCAGGTCCGACAATATCTTAACCGCTGTATGTGACTTAAGCACTTAACTCGTGCCTTGTGGTTTCCGCTATAGTAGGTCACTGAAATAGTGAAAATTTTGACGTTAGCGTAATTTGTTTCCTAACAAAACATTGTTCCCCGAATTGGCCGTATCGACCGTACGTGAGTCGGCGTAGGGCGAAGGTAGCGGGTGCGGTAGCGCAGGTGCGTGTATTGTGTTGTAGATGAACGGGCCCGGCGGGGGCGGCGGCGGGGGCGGGGGCGTCGGGGGCGGCGGCGGGGGCGGGGGCGGCGCGAGCGGCGCGGCGCCGGCGGCGGGGGCGGCGGGGGCGGCGGGGCCGCGCGTGCGGCGCTCGCGCTCGCAAGGTACCCGCAAACTGCACAAGTGCCTGTCCACCGCGTCCGACGTGTACGCCGCGCCCCCCGCCCCGCAGCATTCCCTGCTCACGACGCGACAGTATTGCAGTTTTGGTAGTACAGTCACCTTTATACAGTTCGGTCTACACTTTCCGATCTAAACAGTCGCAATTTCTCCTTTCTTTTGAATTTTTTGTTGACCCATTTCTTTGGTGGCGAATCGCTGATGATTGGATCGAAGCATATGATCGTGCATCTTGATAAGCTTTGGCTGATGGTAATAAGACGAAAGCTCTTACCTACGATGTTGTTCGCTTCAATGTACTATTCGTGCTTACAGTTTATGTTTAGAATGTCAAAATTGATTGAAACGAGTACAAAATTTTGCTGGTGCATAGTTAAGCGATCTCGCCAATGTTAATTTATTTTCGTTTCTTCTTATTTCTTTATCTATTCTTTTCTTTTTTTCATACACTTCTACCACTGTAACCTAACTTCCATACTGATGATTCTTTCGTACTCATGAATTTCTTAATTTTATCAGAAATTGAAGAGGAACATAAATATTTTTTTTACTAACAACAGAGCAGTTCTCTAGTAAGTCTTCAATTTCAAAATAAGTACTTAAATTTTTCCCTAAAACATATAATTATAACAAAACTTACTCTCCCTAATCACTAATGTATTCAATTGGCAACAACTACTCATCGGACGACACAAGTCACTCAGATTGAATCATTATTCATAGCCGAAGAGCATGTTTTGAGTTCTAAATTATTTTTATTCATTTGTCAAATTTCCAATTTCAGATCGGAATCATTTACTAGGTAATCATTGCAGTCTACGTTACACCAAAGTTTGTTATTTTGATTTCTTGTTGTTCATATCGAGTAGTTTTCTGTTATCCTATGTTGTACCATTGTCGACTCTAGAATGAAATATTCAAGTGTGTCCCTGTCATAAAAGCCAAATAGTTGTTGTGCCAGAGACCTGTCATTGTGCATTCGCCGTCTACAGTCCATCTCATACAGGCCACTGAGACATATATAAAATCTACTAGTATTATAATATCGCCCACAAAGAAATGTTAAAGTACACGAGTTGTTAACCACAACAGTAGAATGTAATTTTCTTCGCTTATTCTTACGAATACAGTATAATACGTAAAAGCGCACGGAGATATCTCCCTGAGATGCGACTGCGGACGGCGAGGCGGCCCCAGTAACGATGGTGACTATGCTTGTAACACAGTGTGATTTATTTGTCGATACAGAACCAACTATTCCGCAGACTCTCGCATCTATGGAGTACTTACAAATAATGCAACCCAATGGTATCCCAACGACATTTGCATCGTTTTTACACCTCTTTAGTTTTTTTTTTATCTTTCGTTCCGTGGCTTGACTGTATTACACACACGTAGAGGTTTGTTATATTACTAGAGTCGAAATTGTGGCTGTGTCTGTCTTACGATGTTTCCACACTGCACCTCAACTGCACTCGGCGACTTCCGGCATGACTCGTAGATTACAAAAAGGTGACTTACTACTAAAAACTATCTCTTTCCTATTCTATCACTTGCTCAGCGCGCTGAGACGTACGAACGGAGTCTTGTGTGTTATATGTGCATTCTATGAGCGAGGCTTTCCATATTGTTTATGAGACACGACTTGTTATATCATTTGAAATTATTTCTTATTAATACGTAACTAATTGTATTCGAAATATTCGATATTTACTTATATCACCAGCGGTCACATTATTTATTTCTTTGCATTTTGTCCGCAACATATTTTCTATTTTATGCAGAACAACCTTTACATCGAGTGCTATCTACCTAAACTCTAAAGTATCACTCGACTGCAGATTGTTATTACTATTATTATTAACCGCTGTTGAGTACATGACATTATTTTTTTTGTTTCTAGCTCGACCACAAAGCAAAAAGTTTATATGGCTCGTTTTTGGCTGCCTCTATATACGGCTGTCCTTATGTCTATGTATGCTTACAGTACTCTTTATTACGACGCACTAGATGCATGCGCCGCTAGAAACACTCACCGCTCCATTTCCGATCACAATATAGCCTTTATTTTCTATTGCATTCAACAATTAATTGTCTGTCCGTCCACGAACGCTTAGTTCTAGTGATATGAGTTATAGTTTGTAGGACTGTTTAGAATGTATAGCTCGTTTTATAACATGGTTATTAAAAGATAGTAAAAATGTGCACTAAATAGACGATTAGAATACACGTACTTATAGTGTATGTATATAATACATAGTGTTAGATGAGTCGCACTGCGTCTACAAAATACACTCAGCTTAAAAGTAAAATGTCACCCTTTTCACATACCATTTTCATATCATCCTTTACTTCTATTTTCACAAACATCCCCCATTATGTTCATCTGGCTCTTGTCTCGCTTCATTCAACGCTTTCATCTATTTAGCTTTGAGTGTCTAACATAAGTGCCAACTGTGTATCATTTTATCATAACTGTGTACGGACTAATACATTTTCATCCATCCATACTTGTATCATAACCTATGTATATACGAGTAATAACTTGGTTTGGATTTAATAAAACGAATAACGAGATCTGTTGTGCAAATAAGCTGAGATTGGACGGGCATGCAACGATATTATTCAGCATGATTCCTTTTTAATATTTCGACCTTTTTTTATTATATACAGCTGAATGGTGGTTTCAGCTAATTTCACAACTGCACACAACCAGCTAGCTCTAGAATGCAGCCATAGATGTTATTTATTACAACAGTGGTAAAGGTCGCTATACGATTTAATATCTCTACTCCCATTTCTCCTTTTGCATTGTCTTTATCCTTAATGTGTGATTGAAGCTGAGTTGCCTCGACCACTGTTGAAGCTAAGGGTCCATTAGCACGAGGTGCTACTAGACTTTTGGCGGTAACATAATGTAATCGGAGGGATAATCTGTATGTGTTGCACCAACCGGCCGCGTAGACAAGCTGGACAGTTCATTCTCGCGCTCGCGCTCCAGCTCCATGTCGAGTCTGGAGAACATATCGCAGGAGGGCATTCAGTGCTTGGCCTTCGCTGACAGCTATACCAAGAAATCTGGTGAGTTGCTTTAAATGAATCTTAAATGTATTTTTGGTTTCCAATGCACCTATTTCATATAGATATAGACTTATCATACTTTTTTCATCTTATTTTAGACCCAACAACGTTGTTGCCAACATTGTGGATCGGAACGACATTAGGGTCAGTATTGACGATGATGATCAATTTACCAGAAGCTGATCTACGGCATACACAACCCGTGATTGTTTCCACTAGTGGTAAAAAAATATTTTTATAAACACATGAGGAATAATTACCTTATAGTTTTCAAATCATTTTGTGTAAATTAAATTTAATTATTCCGTAATTTTCCAGGTGGTCCTATATTTAGGTTAAAAGGTTCAATATTGGCAATGTCATTTTTGGACTGTAATGGTGCTTTAATTCCTTATTCGTATGAGAGCTGGAGAGATGATAGTAAAGACGTAAGTTGATATTATTTTAGCCCAAACACGTATAAATCAGGTTTTTATATCAATGCTATCGTAATTAGTAGGATATATTCTAATTTACTTCCTTAAATCGATGGTATTAGGGTCGAGAACGTCGTGAGCGTACGCCCACCAAGCAGGGCTCCGGCAGCAGCCACATGAGCCCTACGCCGGGCAGCACTGAGTCGGCAGCAGATCGACAGTTCGTAGTCATCGCGTCTGAGAAACAAGCGCGCGTCGTGGCTTTGCCCAGCCAAAATTGTGTCTATCGCCAACAAATTGTTGATACAGACTTTGTTGTTAAATCGGAAATTGTCAGTTTAAAAGGTAAACCTAAACAACATCGCACTCAGTAATTATAATTTAAAGAAAGTCTAAATTAACTACAATATAATTTTTGTAACGTTATTTCAGACAGCGTATGTTTAGTAAACTATTTGTCGACGGGACACCTGGCAGCCTACAGCCTGCCGTCGCTGCGGCCGCTCGTGCAAGCCGACTTCCTGCCGCTTTCTGAACTCAGGTGAAAAAAAGACCTCGTTTACTGCCACCTTTTCATTCTCTCCCAATTTTTTACTCCGCGAAACATAGAAACTGAACAATAAAATATTAACTCCATATAAATCATTATTTAACCGCGTTCATTATAATATTTATTATATTTCTTCTAATCGTAAAATAGAATTTGATAGAAAATTAGGAATAAACGTTCAGCTTCTTCGTTTTGCTTTGAAATGATGAAATAATTTTTATTTACCGAGCAAGCAATGACAATGAATGAATAGGTGTCGAGGCTCGAGCCCTGTGGATGTCTCCACTGACACTGACACTTAGACGACTTCCACGCACTCGATAAAGGCACTAAATGATAAACGGCTTGTTTTTACATACTTATACCTTAGATACAACTAGCTTCGCAATATCAGCATGAGAATGCTGTACTTTTATGCTAAAAGAAATTTTGAGATTTGTCATATTTTTACAATTTACGCATTCATCAGCCACTGATCAGACATGTACATCTGCTACTTTATCATTTGGGAGCCGACCGGAAGACTTCCTTTGAGTATGATCGATGTTAGCAAACAACACTTGTTTGGTGCAAATAATGTAATATACCTGTTGCACGAACTCCCCGCACTCGCTCTGCCCCGGCCCGCTCGAGGTAACTGAGATGTGCACCAGACAAGTGGAGATGTCATCTTACTTGACACGGCCAGCACCGAGCTGTTAATGGCTAAACGCGCTGTCTTGATCACTAAGTAGACAAAATTTTGCAAATCTGTCGAGCACCTCCTGTGCTTTCGATATTTGGCACTCTTCATCTATTTTTCAGTTGAATATTAATCGGACATACAACACAACACAACAAAGACGATATAACACCATCTCTTTACTTGGTGCTGATTTGTGTAAGACACTAACCCGATATCATTGAATGTGCCCAACATCCGATGCATACTCGTAATAGTGCTAATGAGTTATCATAGTTAACCCTCATGCCCATGATGACATCTGTATAACACGCATACGACCGCGGCGGTCGCGCTGCCACCGTACACGACGCTAGTCAGTACGGTGGCAGCGCTACGGGAGCCGCGCGACTATTGTAACTCACCGGTGTCTGTGTTCCTGGTAGCTTCCAGACACAGTCCAAACAGAGGGGTATCGTAGACCCAATGCTCTCCATATGGGGCCAGCAACTGATAGTTAACGAGGACACGGACCAGTAAGTCTTCGTTCATAGCGGAATTGCGTTAGTCATGTCATGACCTCCATGTACCCTGTGGTGTGACCGCGCCCTCTGTTAGACATGTTAGTGTTTCATGTTGTCCGCTTTCGACTCCCGCCCTGCGTTACCCCCAACCCTGGACCTGGACGAATCTCTTTAATCCTTATTGATTTTAAATCTAGATTATCTTTATACATCACAATTGGCACGTTTAACTGAAGATACGCATAGTTTTAAGACATTTTAGTGAATTAGTAATTGGTCAATTTTCATTGTTGATGATTAAGTTTTCGAGTTAATATTTAGGGAATTTATGTATGAGTATATGCAGAACGTCTGGAAAAAACTTTGTATCTTTAGTCTCAAAATTGTCATGTCTCTACTCCCAATTCGCTCCAGTCCGTCCGTTGCTTGCAAAATTGCTTCGAACCGCCCGAGTCCTGAACTACAACCCTCGACACGAACACTACACCTCGTCTCTCACCAACGCACAATATGTACATACTGGTACATTATTTTCTGCCTTACATTATACTTCACAGAGTATCTTCCTTTTCCACTTTATTTAAACTAGCTCTTTCCTTTGCCTTATTATTTTAATATTTCTTATTGTAAGCATGTTAGCTTTGATTGTTCTGAAACTATTCTATCACTAGGCATTTTCATTTAATACACTTGCGTTTATGCTTCTAAACTTAAGTAGATATTTGAAATTCTAAAGTATTTCCGACAGAGGTAACTGAGGAATATAAAGGTAAGATAACAAAAAAATATCTAAATAAATAATTATATTATAAATATATTTTTTTTGTAAAATAAAAAAAACAGTAGTAAGTTGAATGAACAGTCTATAGGGACTACGAGTATGTAAGGACCTGTTCTTGATGGACACATCTATAGGTTCGATACCTGCACTACGCAAAGAAGTGTCTCGATATTGTTGATCAAAAATTTTTTATTGGGCTAAAATCCACCTTGTCACTGTTAACCTACCCTGTAAGAAAAATGCTAAAAGATATTTTAATAGTAAAAATTTTAAAAATAACTATTATCTATCACCTGTTTCTCGATTTTATTGAACGGAGTGTTTTAGATAGAATGAAAGTAAAAAAAATTCTAAATTAGCAACTGAATGTTAATATATATGTACTGTGACGTATTACAGGATAGCGAAGACGTTCTGCTTCAGCAACCGCGGGCACGGGCTCTACCTCGCCTCGCCCACTGAGATACAGAAGTTCACTATCGACGCTGAGTTCTGGTAATTTACAAAAATATCTGAACATTTCACAAAATATTTTTTATTCTGATTGTAATCTTAAAACCTAAATAGTCCGTTCAAAGAAACTTTAAGCATATTGTATCATTATTGGGGGTAGTAATGCATACTGTTTAATTAAGACCAGAACATGTTATTAAGTGTTTAAGATAATAAAGAACCTAATGGTCCATGTCTATACGTTCCAGTCAACAATTAAATGAAATGATCGGCGAGCTGTTCCTGCCGCGTGACATGCCGGAGCCCCCCAAGGAGAGCTTCTTCAAAGGACTCTTTGGAGGTGGCTCCAGACCACTCGATAGAGAGGAATTATGTAAGTTTATACTTTACACTTCATGTCGGCTTTAACATTCACACTCGTTTGTTACAGTCCCGTTCCGTTATTTTTAAATTATATTTTCTTGGTGTATTACAACTCTGTACATTCGATATGTAAAATAAAACATATGAAAAATCGTTCAAAATATTCATTTTGCGCCGCACGTGCAAATTGTGGAACGATCTTACTCCTGAGCGCTATAATAATGGGCTCTCAAGGTCCCTTAAAGACCAGCAACGCATTCGCATCTCCTCATATTGCAGATCTATAGTCTACGAGCTAAGATAAAAACCATAAGGTGGATCGTTCGCTCGTTCGTCTCTTACTCGTATAGAACTAAGCTCAATACTAACGTGCGTCCCCGTCGCAGTCGGCGAGAGCAGCGGCAAGCCCAGCCGCAGCGTGGCGAAGCACATCCCGGGCGCGCCGCTGGAGGCCGCGGGCGCGCGCGCCGCCGCCGCCGCCGGCGAGGTGTCGCGCGCGCACCAGCTCGTGCTCGAGCGCGGCGACAAGCTCTCGCACCTCGAGGACCGCACCGAGAGGATGCACTCGCAGGTGACCATATCTATATATCCTATGTTCCTTATGAAACGTTATAAACGTTATCATATTATTTGTAATAAAACCGGTTTTTTTCCGCGAAAAAATCCAAAAGATAGTTTTATTTAAAATGGGGAATATTCGCATAAATCTAAGAAAGTATTATTTGTAATGACTATGATTTTATCAATCGATTAATCTCACTTTCTTTATTTCACCAATCTTTAAAAAAATTTACTCGATTTTACGGTTTGCCTAGCCTAGTCTGCTGTATACATTCCTTATATAATATTCAAATTGACAGGCTTCCGAGTTCTCCTCATCGGCGCACCAGCTCATGCTCAAGTACAAGGACAAGAAATGGTACCAGCTGTGAGCGCGAGCCGGCCGGCCGCTTGCGAACTATCTACAATACAAACTAAACGAATTTTCAACAAACTCCATAATGGTATTACTATCGAGATGCTCATAAGCTGACTTCAGAAGCTTGCCGCAATATCTTCAGTAATAACACAATTAGAATATAAATTCGTATAATGTAAAGACGTTTTGTCTAAAGCTGATACTGTTACATATTGAAATTTATGATTCCACCAAAACAGTATAAAGTAGACGAAATTCTCAGTACCTAGTACCTACCTACCGATAGCATTTAATATAAGGGAGGGCACAGCGTACATATCGAGAGGAGGGTCGGATGCTTTCAGTGAAGTGAAGTAACAAACGGCCGGTTAGAGCCGCGCTTGAGTCGCGTATGAGTCGGGCTCGAGTCGCGTGTGAGTCGCGTGTGAGTCGCATGTGAGTTGCGACGGAACTTCGTACGAGCCTCTTTGGCGTTTCACGTAGAGCTTAGCGATCTTCGGTAACCTTACATATTATATTACTTACACTTCGTATTCATAAATGATCTTTAAACTATAGACATACGATTATAATAATGGTGAAATACAGTATTCTTATATATAATATATTAAGTAATAATTATTTTTAGTCCTCGGTGCAATTGAAATTTCAATAAAAAATTGTTTTATTTTTGTCAAAACAGTAAAGTGACTTCTTACTAGAGAGGGCCGTTTATGAATACGAGGCTATATATCAGAAGTAACTATTTAAATAAGCGCACAATATTGTATTGGTTGTCGCCGAGCGATCCCTCGACGCGGCGCCGCGACACGCCGGTTATTTCTCTAACTCATTTTTACTCCTCGCTTAGCTCTTGCGAGCGATCGATTCTACTCTCTTGTTTTTTTATATAAGAGTTATGTATAATTCTCTAACTTGACATTTTTTTATAGTTTTGTTTTTTTGTGATGATTCGGGTAACCCGATAACTTTGTTTAATTTTTAAATATTTCTGGCAAATTTATTTCCCCTACATAGAACGAATGCCCAGGTGCAAGGGCGCGAAGGCGCGAGGGCCGCGATGGCGCGCGTCGGCGGACAGCCACGTACATAGGTTCGCATTCATTCGCGCGATGTGATAACATGTAAATATAACATTACTATATTCATCTTTTTATACAATGTACGGTATGTTTCGTAGTGATTTCTCTATATCGCACTCTTCCCATCGTCTTCTCTTGTTTTACACGGTACACTCTCACGATAGGAGCGACTTCTCGCGCTACAAATATTAAAGTTAACTAGTCGGTGCGCACGCGCACAGAGAGATTATTTCATGTTTATATCTTTAACTTGGATTAAGTAGATGTAATTTTTTATAGATACGATCGGACAGACGTAGGACGAGTTAACTATAGTTATTGTGAATGTTGATCTGTATAAAGTGATAAATAAATAATATAAACTTAAATGATTGAAAATTTAAGCATTGGATGACAATAATTTTGTTACTCTCTTTGCAAATTTTATTTTAACGCCGCGAGGTGTGTATATTTTTTTTTCTTATTTTGTCCTTCTTGTATTATTTATTTAATCTGTATTTTTAATGTACAATATCATTAGTTCTGTTCAGTTCCGAGTGTCCTGGATTTAGTTTATTTACTTTATATTTTCGTAATGTAATATTTCTAATACTAATTTACTAATTACATTTGTTCACGAACCATGGACACGTTATATGTATAATAATTTAATGTATTACGAAGGTGTGTCCCACCTTTCACTGATAGCAATACAACGCGGGTTCTGCCTGACGAGAGCTGAGAGCTGACGCGACCGGACCAATCGGTGTCGTGTTATTGTTGTTAGAGAATTACTGTTACGAATAAAATTATAAAGCGATAAATAATATTATATGTAAAATATCGATTTAAGTAACGCACTATTGCCAATGTAGATAAGTCCGTGCGGAGCTACTCGCTGCATCAACACGGTCACTTCGATCTTATTATTTGTCTTGTTATAATTGCACTCGGTTATGCTAAATTGATATTATCTATATAGATACGTAAAAATATTCTAAAATATATTCAAAATTATTATTCAATACTTTATACGTATTATAACTATTCCGCTCTAAATGAAGCGTGGCGAACATCCGCGAACCAAGTGACTGCTGGTTTAGGGTTCACAATAACCTATCTATTGGTCGTTTTCATTACGGGAGGATTTTGACATTTAAAGCTCCATACAAATTATGTCAATTTTATGTCTCCAAAGAGAAAAACATTAGATATGTTATTGGGATTCACCTCAATGGTAGCTACTGCACAGCCTTTTATATCGCACTTCAAAGCGACACAATTGTAACACAACTTGTCAGGATTAACATCATGTTTGAAATAGTAGTATATTTTAGCATAACTGGGACCAATTATATCCCTCTATATTTTTGTTGTAATAAAGCCCATTAATAGTAGCAGGGTTAAACTTCCAATGTAAAGCGAGTATCCGCTCATTATCATAGGTACCTAGTGTAGCGTAGGTCGGTGTATCGCGAGGCAATAAACGTGTCCTATCCTTTCGTTGCTGCTCCCTCTATCCGTTTTCTTATACACAGACGTACGAACAAAACGTCTCTTATACTTTATATTATTGCATAGGGGCTACACAATTTCCAATAAATAACATGCGGTTTTCTTACCGGTGAGTTACCTCTATGCTTCAATGTTTGTATTTAGTAGTGTTGCTAGTTTATTTAATAAATTTTCGTACCTCATAAGACTTAGTGTCTGTGCCTCAAGTTGGTATCGTGTTAGAGAGCGTCATGGTTACTGTCACGTGAGATATGTGTGACTAACGCGGCCGACAGCGAGTATCGAATGAGCCAACTCGCGGCAGAAACACTGCTGTCGGATGCCAAAGGTGATTTTTGTACATAACCTCTTGTTACAACGTTTGTTTAGATTCATAATTTATTTATAGATTTGCGAGAATGACAAACTAGCGTTACTATCCAAGGAATATATGAAACTAAAGCTGTTCCGAATATATAATTATAGCTAAATGTTTTAACCAGATTATTTTGGTACGAGACGTGTACAAGCGATCACAGAATTGATTGAAATATTTTCTTATTATATATTTAGTGGTTTTAGCGACAAATTATAGAGATGTACGAGCTATAATGTATTTTTGTTAAGTCACCGTGATGGGTAGACGCGGGCGGCGCGGGCCTCGGGCCGCTTACTCGCTTGTGCTGCCGCGGAGCTTAGCCTTACTTCTGAGACCTCCTAACTTCGTAGTTTCAATGTTATCCTAAGAATTACATTAAGAGTTTATATTTGTATTGATTTCGTGTAATCAAATTATAAAAAATAGAATGTTCGAGTAAAGGTATTTTATATTCGTTAAACGTGTGTGTTCTCTGTGTTGCCATATAAAATGCTGTACTCACTCTATATTTAGTTATGAATAACAGTCATTGTAACTTATGCTATTACGTGGTGCTTTTTAACGTTTCCGGCGTCAATAAATGAAATGTGAACTACACCGATTGTTTTATATGGCAATAGGGTGGTAGGGTGGTAGGGTCGGTGGGGCCGGTCGGGCCCCCGCCTGGAGATCGTCTGTGCAATACTTTGGTAGCTCGTTAAGTTTGTACGATTCTATGTGGTGTTATCGCGGACAACTGCGCTTCTACTTGACCGAACGTTCCCATTAGACGCTATTCATTCGAAAAATGGGACTAAATTAATGTAAGGACTGTAAATAAATAATTACCAAAACTTGTGGCAAATTATTACTTGTTAATCTTTAATAATCGTAGTTCATTTCGACATTATTTTGTATGATTAGACGACTGTCTCTTTTTTAACGTTCGGAAACGAGGAGTTATAAAACTATAACTATACATATTGTATATAAAGGATGCTGTTGAATTATATTATTTAGTTTGGTAGATGATTATAGTCATTATATATAAATAAAACATAAAAATAAAATTATATCAAAACTATTTGGTTGTTTATCTTTTTCCCTAAACAAATGTTTAATGAAAATTATTTTCTTATACACCAAAAAATGCTTATATTGTTATTATGTTTAATCGACGAGTAATTAAAAAGAAATAATACTTATAAATAGGACTTCAAAAAGTACCTGCGAAATATCTGTTGGTACCTGGATGGTAGTTTGTATAAAAATCGAAAGACCAAGAGTAAGTACGACTTTATAATTTAGATAAGAATTTTCGAAGTGAAAACTTCTTCATGCAGGTTTGGATGGGGAGTAAATTCATGTGAGTCGTCATCGACATGACCACGTGACGTGTTGACGCTAACACTCATAGATATCAAAACCAGATAAATGTAAATAGTTTTAATTTATATGTATCGTATTCAGCCCTTTTTAACGTTCCACTGCTGGGGACGGGCCTCCCTTCAATACAATGGGGATCAGGCCATAGTCCACCACGCTGGCCAAATGCGGGTTGGCAAACCTAACATGTTTTTCGAAAACTTGCTAGGTTCTCTCAGACATGCAGGTTAACTCGCAATGTTTTCCTTCACCGTAAGGCAAGTAGTAATCATGCTAGAAATGATTCGCACATGAAAATATCAGGGGTGCGAGTCCCGGGATTTGACTTCACTCGGTTTCCCAAGCGAGCGCGTTACCACTGGGCTACCACTGCCTACGTTCTAATTTACAAATTTTAATTTAAGATCTAACAATTAATTTGAATATCCAAAAATAACAACCGTTTGTTTATAGTTTAAAGTTTTGATTTCACTTCTTTCGGCAGTCGACTCATGACTGCTTTATTTCTACAGCATCATCTAGTTCCATGGTAAGCTACAAGGCTTGTGTTATGGATACGAGATAATTGATATACAATGTATAACTTTAATATGGACCATGACTGGAGTACAAACAGTTGTGCTCATCACACAAGGATCACTACAAACTGAGCCAAACGTATCGTAAAGTATTCATATATGATATGCGAATTAACATACATATTATATATATTTATGGCATCATATATAGATGTGCAGTCTCTGTAAGATGTAATAAGCAAGTTTATTGTTGATGGTGCCTACCTACTTTATCAGAAACCTTCCCGGGCCTGCATAAAACAATTCTTAATACTGACAAAATGTATTCATTTATATTTAAAATATTTTACATATTAATATTCTACCAGCGAGCCTTACCATGGATTCTAATAGCATGAATACTATAATCTTACTTGACTTTCCGTACCATGACGTCTTTAAAGAAAGGTTATTATAAGCTTGTAACATTCTTACTTTCTTAGGGGTTTTGTGACGAATGATACGGAATTTTGACAAATAATATTCTTACTCTTATGTCATAATCAGCAATCTTTAAAAAGCTGTTGATACGCGACGCGACAGACGTATTATTATTTTCAAAATCAATACATATAATAAAATTGTAACTAAGCCGAATCTGTACAGTAAATATTTTTTTGAAACATTCTATTGAAATAAACATTATTATCGATACAGAGGCCGAAACTATAGTTTTTAGAATTTTTGTCTGTCTGTCTATTTCCGCATCACAGAAAAACCACTTGAGGGATTTTGATGAAATTTGATATGGTGATAGCTGGTTATCCGGATCAACATATAGGAAACTTTTTACCGCGGGAAAATATCTCATTTCTGAGAAAAAATACAAAAACTGCACTGTAAGAATATACTAATATGTAAAACCTAAGAATTTGGTTTTTGGTCATCTGAACGCGGGCGGGCAATGCTAGTTTATAATATAAAAGGTAATTGATTATGCCAGATAACAGAAAAAACCACTTGAGAGATTTTGATGAAATTTTGTATGGTGATAGCTGGTTATCCGGATCAACATATAGGATACTTTTTACCGTGGGAAAATATCTCATTTCTGAGAAAAAATACAAAAACTGCACTGTAAGAGTATACTAATATGTAAAACCTAAGAATCTTCGTATTCTTCGTTGTTCTGGCTCGTTTCATTTTCAAAAAATTGCTGTCATAAAGGGTTTGAATTTTTTCCCTCTCTTTCCAAATGGTTGACATTTTTGAGTGTGATACACCATATTCTTTTGCCAAGTTTATAAATATAAAAGGTAATTGATTATGCCAGATAAATTAAGCTAAACCTATTGTTTTCGAAAATCTGTTGATTGATACACGTGTTAGAAATGAAAATACTACTCGTTGATGACACTCGTATATTTTTAACTCAATTTAAACTCTAATGACACATCTTTCAATTGCCTTATATATAAAGACCAGAAACTTTACAGACTAGACAGCGCGATTCAGAAAACTACACCTACAATGACAGTGCCATCTCTTGCTATAATATTAAATTAAAGCTATTACATTCTACACAACACGTATCATGTAATTTTAGTAAGTAATATAATATTTTTCTTTAATTTTATCCTAGGTAAGTACTAATCATATTTACAGACTATATGTGTAACAAGGATAACGCTACACAATTTATATAGTGCTATTTCTTTTCTTTTATAGGATGGATTTGAGAATGAATATAAACTCATCATTTGTTCTATCGGATTAGGCTTGATAAAGACATATTGGAAGGGAGGTCAAAGTTGGTCATAAAGGCCAATAAAAGAACAATAATTGAGCAACTTTTTTAATAAAACTTTTTAACTATGATATAATAAATACAATAGAATACAATACGAGCATTTATTATGTCTCGGGCGGTCGGCGCGGCGGGCTCGGACGGGCACTAGGGCGGGCGGGAGTGTCTTTCTATGCCCCAATTGTACTTTCAATGGTTCTTTTTCGTTGATTTTAAAGCTCGTAGATGTGAAGGACACCAAATGAGTTCAAGCGAGGTATGGCACGAAGAGAGAAAGATGGGAGGTGAGGATGTGAGGAGGACAAGGAGAGCCGCGGCCGGCGCCCGGAAGGCACAGTTCTCGTCACCAGACCACACTACCAAGCGGCATCGATCACAACAACGCCCCACTCACTATATAGATTAAATAAATCAATACTTCATTACAATATTAAACGAAAAGTAAGATTGTACACTTTTATATCTGAAACGGTTATTTGAATGTAACAAATGTCAACTGTATAGCCGGCGTACAATACTTCTCTATTGGCCCACTTTAGAATATACATCAAGCTTACAATAATATAAAAATTCTAATTTCCTACATCACACTTAGCTACCGTAGACGACTCCGGATTCTCCACTGGTATAAAGCGCGGGTCAATTTATAATTATTTAGTTTAATATTTGGTGGCTGGATGACAAGTACTTTATGTATTCAATGGTCGTACAAATAGGTAAAATGCGATTTCAACGTTGCCGTCTCAAACACCAGAGTCGTGTCCATAACACGATGTGTGTACAAAGCTCGTTTCGATACAAAGTTGATTTTTTTGTTTACCAAAAGTATTAAATACGGAATGAAAATGTCTAAGTACCAAAACTAAGCGCTACCAAAATGGCGGACGGCGCTTGGAGAGGCGAGATCGAGGTCTACAATATCACAATCGCAGCGTCCCAGAGTGCGGGCGCCAATGGGCTCACTCGCGTATAATTCGCTAACAAAATGACTATATTCAAAATCTATTTGTAAAAATTTCCGTCTGGCAACATTCGCGGACTCCAGCGGATCTGAGCGAGTATTGCCCGGCGAAGTAAACTTATTTAAAAACATTTTGATCTCAAATCTGTTAATTGTAAATGATAAAATATCACATTTCATTTTACATAAATATAAATTATGAATAACTATTTCTTCTAACACACTTAAAATATGGTCAGCTAAAGATATCGATTAAATAGAAAATCGATTAAACCGCAATAAGTATTAAATTTAAGTTCAAAATGTCTCTAAATGCCAAAGTTTGACGTACAGTTTGACGTACAGTTTGGTGCCACAGTTGAGGTAACAATGACAGTGGGGTATGTACAGGCGAGGCGGGATGCGCCAAGTCAACGATTATCCTACGCTACACACTAAGAGTATATAAAACGTGACAACAAGATCTGAAGGCAACTAATTGCACTATATATAATTGTTTACGTTTTACAGCGTTTACTGCTAACTATTAATACTTACTTCGCGACAGAACTAGGATATTAGATGGTAATGGAAAAGTTGCATCAACCCCAGTTCAGCCCAAACGATCTTTGAGTTTGGTCGTTTTGGGCTTTTATAACGTTTATTGCTAAATACAATGTAATATGAACAACACATCGCATTCTTACTAAGTACAGTAAGCAGAAATGATGTGGCAACACTACACCAAGTGTTGACCATTCGGCACTAATTGCGAGGGTAGATGACCTCGACCGAACAAACAGACACATAAATTTACGAAACTGATATTCTATATTGAGAAACATACTTCTTATACATAAGGACTATTAACTGTAGTCATTATGACCGGAAGTTGAGTTACTTTACCTCATTATAAAAAGGTGTAATGTTTACTATAGGTACGTAACAGTATATTATGTGTCTGTCGGTCGCTCTCAGCCCTAACACGTACATGAACAATACAAGGTACAACGCATATAATCTTACATTTAGCACCTTTTGAGGAGCGCTAACTCCACCACGGCCGCTTCTCAAAGTTCGCGACAGGGGAAATAAACACTAATCTAAGGGAGGAAATATTTCAACTGATTTTATACAAAATACTGTAATGTACTGCAATCGTAACAAATGTTTATAATGAATATGACATGGTTTTAAAAGTGAAGTGAGAAGCAGCCGCAGAGACAGAAGCCGCGCCCTCCGTCCACACATCACAATCGGTTACACAATCACATGTAGATAGGTACTTACAGTTAGCTCGCTACGAGTGGGAATCGAACAGACGGACAAACGATATGGATACACAATATGTATTAGATATTTGAAAACTTGTCCACTAAGTGTTATATTTGAAATAAAATATTTTTTTACATTTTTGTGTTTATTATAATTATTATAATATTACTTCACATTTTTGTATTTAAACTGATAACTCCTTAAAGGAAAATGTACACGAGATATACATATTCATTAAAACGCTATATCGATATTAAGTCGATGAATAAAAAATCGATACTCTTAAGCAAATATAGATACATCAACTTTAAAAAAAGTCGAAATATTTTATTTTCATGAACGTTTTAATGTAATATATAGCTTGACTCGGTTAGACAACGATAATTGCAACTGCCTTATTCTTACATGTGCAAATATAATAAAAGCAAAATTATTTTACATGATCATTTAAGCAAATTCTGTACATAAAACGCAAAGTTTTGATATTTTACAAATAGCAATTTATCTTTATTAAAATAACTAAAATACAAGAATATTTCATAAGACATTACAAGAACACACTACTACACGGACGTGTCGTCTCTCATCCAAACACACTGCCACATCTAAACACAACTCATCAAAAGCTCATGAACACTTACGTACATTTATTTGACATTTCTAATACAATAACGCGCGCGCGTAAAATTTCAAATTTAAAACATTGATAAAAATAATCAAATCTATAAAAAAACTTTAGGCGAAATAATACATTTTAACGAACAAACAACGTCGCGTCTAAACGTAACGAGTAAATATCGAGTGATAACGAATCATTCGTTGTAAACCATTACAGCTCAAGCTTTACCGTTAGCCGACATCCGAGACGAGAGCCCCCACGTAACAAAACATAATATTAAGCTTTATATACATTCGTAGGAACGATGCCAGCATATATTCTAACAGCATATTTCACGAGTAGCGGCTGATATTCGGAACGATAGGTAGTTCACCGTAATCGATATGTCGATTGATATAATATTCGATATGGTTCACTTCAAACGACTCCTGCTCAGCGCGAGCGCGGCGCGACAACTATAGTAATACGTGAGGTACGCGCGAGGGACCACGGGAGAGGCGGACTGGGCTTTGTTTATTTAAACTTTCATCGCACTATACTGTAAAGCGGGATATTTACCATGTATGTATATGTATCACTTACAGTCTGGTAGTACTAGAGAAAACCCATGACCATGACGCTTATAACAGTTCTGAAATATCGACAACTCTCAAATGTAAGTTATAAACATGGTAGATATCCCGTTTTGCAACGAATTTTACGAGATATAGAGACGTATCTATATAGTGACAAGCTATCGGAGGAAGCGCATTTAAAACTGCGTTCTGATTAGAAGTATTACATCGATTATTTATTGAATAAATATTTTAGAATAAATTTAATTTAAAATTTTAGTCCCACCACTGGTCGCAACCCCAAATACAAACGTGTGTCATAAATTCTCTATAATATAATGCATTTCAATTGAACACGTACGAGACCGAAGCGATCTTAGTGATGTAACATCGAATAAAATTTAATATCTAAAATTACACATTAACTCGATAACACAGGGATAGCGATAATTGCGCCAAGTTGATAATTTAATTGTTTCGGTATTGACACTATTTTGCGAACACATAATTATATTTATATGACCCACCACTTACTGGGCAAGGCTGGTTTTTTTTATACCTCTAACATATAAACATTTAGGTTTAAAAATATCGATCTTGATCCAGTGTTAATGATTTTAACGATATAGATTTTAAAAGCAAACTAGAATAGTGTTATAGCAAATTTGTTTCTTAGAATACATTATGTAATATATAGACTTACATAATATAGAAAGCACACAGGCTTCGCAAGCAGACCAAAGTACACGCGATGTCATCACAGTACGTCGTAATTGAATGACGATTCCGATACAATACTTAAGCTCAAGTTTTTAATTATAATAAAAGCTAGTAAAAAGGTAATTCCTCTTCAATAGCTCTCTCTATTCAGAGACACATTCCAAATCTTATTTTTTTTTTGTTCTAATAAATTTAAAAGTCCTCTTTCATATAAATAACTCCAATAAAGTAACACACGAAATGATCTTTAATTTGGTAACGTTTTATAATTAATATGTGAATATGAATCAAAAGTAGGCAATAAACGATATAGCTACTTATTACCGTGCGGATTAAAGATATCTATTCTCTATTTTGATTACCGAGAAATAGTTAAAAAAATATGATAGAAAACTCTAAAACGCGGCACTATCGCAAATATTCATTTGGCTTCAACACTTTATTCTTAACATTTTATTCTTCCACCACATTATAAATAATTAAAATTTGTTATCCGCATTTATAGGCAACGACAGCTTTAATAGCGATATTTTTAACAACAGCCTGCCCTTTTTTATAAAAAAAAATGAATTGTATAGAAGGTTATATATCAAATGTAATAAAGCTAATGTGCTTCCAACAAAAATATCAATAAGATTGTATAAAATCGAACAAACAGACAAAGCTTCTAAGAACTAGATTTGGTTCAACAAAAACTTTAACATAAAGGAATAAAAAAAAACCATGTACACGAAGACGCTTAACTATAGTTTAGATAATATCGATTAAATGTTCTCCGCATCACACCCACGGTGCTACCACTGATGGGATAATACTATCTATACTAATACCATGGGGTCTCATCACAGACAAAGAAAACTTACTTCAAATAAATATTAATTAATGACATCACATGTATCGAATCTGAATCTCGGAAACGGCTCCAAGGATTTTCAAGTTCGGTTCGTATCCTGGTCGGATACAAAGTTTTTTCATTTTGTTTTTTTATTTATTTATTCAAATTTTTAGTTGTTTTTTTTTTTAATGTTTTCCGACCAAAAACTCCGAGCGAAGCTCGGTAGCCCAGGTACTGTTAAATTAACAAAAGATAAAAATATGTACATCCTAAAAAGGTAGGTAACATTCATCCTGCATTCGAAAAAAATCTGTAATTTGAACAGTTTTTAACCGTGATAAACATCCATTGATATTTGAAAGATTTTTTCTTTGTACGCGATGAGACCCCATGCTATTACAAAATGACCACAGTGAGTCCAATGAATGAGTTGCTAATTATTTATGCTGTTGCTAATTAATGGCGGCTGCGGCCCAGCAATAGCGATTCATATCCATGATGGGAAAAGAAAAAAAATTGTGAGTTGACACCACCAATCCATTAAAATACTATTTACGAGCTTTCAAAACGCGATTCCCTATACATTTTATATGGCAATAGCAAGCTGTGACGTCACTTACGTCACTACATACTTTACCAATCGACTTTCCAGAGCTAAATTAAAGTGTTTTTAGCGTAGTTGTATCTTGGAATGTTACTGGTGTCAACTGCGAAATTAAAATTCTGAATCACATGACGTTAATGTCGGGTGATCGATGTAGGACTTAAACAGTACTATACGGTAGTTACACGGCGTCTGTATAAAATGTTTGTATGACGAGTGTATATGTCCTGCTCACAGCCGCCGCCGCAAGTCGGCCCCCTAGTGAATATGAAACGATATATCGAAATACCACGTATATTACACTTTGTATACAAGTTCCTCATGCATCGCCCTACAGTGGCACGGATGGCGCTATGCAATCATGAAACACCCTGATTAGCTATTATGGTAATTTACAAATATCTGGACATATACAGCTTATTATATAATTAAAAAATTGTATTACATAGAAAAGTATGATTAAGTTTATTTTGAAGCGTTCACTATTGCATATCATCATCCCCTCTGACCTGAAAGGTCGCCGTCGCGAGGCGTCTGATTGGTGGTCGAGGATAGGAATACGAACGGATATAAAAACTAATAATAGGGCGTTATATCCGGGAAGGGGTAGAAGTGAATGGGATAGGATCACCTCTGCTCGTCGCCGGCGCTGGAGGCCGAAGGATCCGAGAAGTCCAAGGGTTCCGAGGCATGCGTGGGGTCTGACGAGTGTGAAGGTTCCGAGAGGTGTGAGGTGTCCGAGGGGTCCGAGGGGTTCGAGGGGTGCGAAGGGTCTAAGGGGTGCGAGGGGTGCGAGGGGTCCTGGTCGGGGCTCATGTTGTGGAAGGCGGTGAACATCTTCTGCGCCAGGATGAGGGTGAGCGCGTCCTTGTCCTCGTCCTCGAAGCCGCTCACGTGCATGTTCTGCAAGCCTTGCTTCAGCTCGCTCTGCTGTTGCAACTCTGCAATATGGATGTTACTAATGTCAGTAAATATAGGTGAGTTTAATGATTATCCATGTTTTGTAATACTAGGTAAAATATAAACTAAATATATAAACATAGAAAAGTACGTAATAAAAACTATGTATATAACAAATACAAAACAATTTCAACATTTCATTACACACATTATATCTAACAATGAATTATTCGTTTGTATTAATTCATGATTTATAAATACAATCATTCACGATGCTATCTCAGTGATGCACCTTCCTTTTGAGGTTAGATCTAGCTCTTTGTAAGATTGGATTTCTCCAGATTTTACTATTTAGCCCTAAGAGGGCAACCTAGCCCTTTTCAAACATCACACAAAAACCTGTCTTGCCATACTTATTGAGTTGATAAAGGATATTGATCGCCTAGTGCCATAAAATCTGTCAGTGATCGTCGGCATTTTTTTGTTTTCACTGTGGTAACTCTAGCTTTAGCGGTGAATACCCTAAACGTATACACTCTGCCATGTCAGTATAAACCAAGCAATTTAAAATGCAATGACGGTTCATAACAGTTTAAATTAGGTGATATTTTTTGTAGTATTACATATGATATGGTCAAATTTTAATCAAAAGTATTTCAGTCTCTTTCAGCCTCTGAGCCCTTTCTGTCGCCACTTTTTAAGAAAGAATTCGTAGCACGTGGTGTGCGGCCCTCACCGGCGCCGCGCCAGGGGTCGCGCGCGGGGAACACGTCGAACTGCGCCCAGCCCTCCTCCCCGCCGCCCGCCGCGCCGCCGCCCGCGCTCTCCCACGCTGAGGACACGACCATATTCTAACTTCATTTTATTCACCACAAAAACTTCCATCCCCATTTTCACCCCCTTAAGGGATCTTTTCCGGGATAAAAGATATCCTATGACCTTTCCGGGGTTATTACAAATTTCATCAAAATCGGTTCTGTAGATCCAGAGATTACCCCCTACAACTTCACAAACTCACAAGCTTTACCTCTTTATAATATTAGTATAGATACATAAGCCTTACTTACGTACGTACTTTTTATCCCGGAAAAATATACGGTTCCCGATTAGGATAGAGTTGTATTTGTACTTTATATATATTGAGTCCGATGTGGGCGGTGATTTTAGTTGCATGCTTTAGTGCATACTCTACCTCGCCCTCGCACCGCTCGGGTTTGTCCCTAGATCATTCTTTAAATTGACACCTAATTGAACCGATTGCAATAAAACAAATACTAAATGTTAAGTGAAGCTTACCACAATATATTAGTGAAAACCGCATCCAAATCAGACAAACCGACAAAAATCATTGTTTTAGGTTCTATTGCGTAAATAAAGACCCCCGATGATAGTTTTTCTTAAATATCTTCCGTGTACAGACAGCGATCAGTTACACTTCTATTATATGTATAGATATATCAACATTTTCGACTTGAAATGTACATTAATTTTAAAATCAATTTTTGAATATTTATGTCTTCATTAGGGCTAAGAATGCGAGCCGACCGGAGAGCGATCAGGCGCGGAGGTGACTTTCTTAACAAAAAGACTTAATAATTAAACTTGACTCGACTCGAGCCTCGAACCCAGGACCTCCGGATCTGCGGCCGTACATGCTAGCAACCAGCCCACTGACGCAGTTTGAACCGGATATGGTTGTAGATAATATAATAATAAGTATAAGCAATACATACGCGAGGCGCCGGCGAGCGCGTCGTGCGCCGCCTCCGCGTCGTCGGGCGCGTCGTCCCACATGCTGCGCACACACAAGCTAATGTTAATTTTAACTAGGAAAGTTATATATTTACAAATAATAAACTAGTTTTTGTCCACGGCTTCGCTTATGCTATATAATAGCATATAGCATATCCAGGATTTGGGGTATCTCAATCTAAGATTTCGCCCGAATTAATTGAGCTACTCACAAAAAGTGTGTAAGTGTATTACAAAATGTGACCATACCGACCCACAGGAGGCTCTCTTTGGACACTACTAATAAATGACCCGCGTTATTCATACGCCAACTCAAGTACTCCAGATATTTTCAATAAACAACAAAAACTTGTTACAAAGAGAAAACGTCATAATTCACGACTTGCACGTATGAAAGAATACGTTAAATAAATAAATTTAATTGTCGAATAGCATATGACGTCTCTGACACAGTTTTTTTCCAGGGCACAGCCCAGCAAGCGGGGACACAACATGGAGGAGTTCACCGATTTGAATTCATAGACTAAACAATAAACTTTAAATATTCACTCTTTGTTTTTCAGGTAGATGTTATAATTTAAAGTATAATCTGTATACTTTTATTATTTTATAGCTAATAAAGTAATAAAAAAAACAGTTTTGTTTGTAGGAGTTCGACATAGGGATATATAAAAGTAAGCACACACAAGCAGAACGCACACTCGCGAAAAGTAGGTAATCTGTGTCAGTAATAAATACGTCACGTTATTTCCTTTGTGTTATTGCAACCTTAGTTTACCTAAAAGTCGATTTCTGTTGCCAAACTTTGTGAATAACATAGGTATAAACTCTTCTTATTTTATTTACAATATATTATATTAATGTTAATAACTTTGTACTCACTCGTCGTTAAAGCGTTCATTGGCTAACTCTAGGAAATTGTTCTTAGCGCTGTCCATCTGCGAATAGGAAGATAATTAAAGAAATATTACTATAAATAATTTAATTACATAAATAACATTTAAAAGGATTTTTTCAATACAATTTACCAAAAATTAAGAGGAATCTTTATAACTGGCAACCCTGACTGTAGAAGTTGTGCCAAACAGGAAGGCGAGACGGTCAAAAACAAGAAATCAGGTAAGTAGGAATCCCATACACCAAAAAAAATATTAAATGTATTAACAGAAAAAGAAATATTTGTACGTCGACATTCGTTTTAATGAATACAATAACCGAAAATGATGAAAGATAAATAAATATGTTGGGACATAACACACAGCACCATTTAGTTTTATGGTAAGTTATGAGGCCTGTGGCTGTGTTATGGATACCAGATAGTTGATACACTAAACATGTATACCTTTATAAATACATAAATATTATAAATACAGACACCCATGACTGGAGCACAAGCATTCGTGTTCATCACACTAATGAATGGCCCCAGCGGGACTCGAACCCGCGACCGCTCGCACAGCAAGTAGGGTCACTACAAACTGAGCCAAACATATTTATTAAATTATTGTAAGTATTTATTGTAATAAATGTATTTAGTCGAGTGCCACTCCCATCGATTATTCGTAACTTGACTACAGAAATATCTAGTGGTTTATATGAGATACCTATTTATGAAATTTCAGTATTGTACTTCTAATAGACAATAATAAAAGCGACTGACATACGGACGGACGAGCACGAGGAAATTATAAGGATTCCGTTTTCGCCTTTGAGCTACGGATAACCAAGAAGAAAGAGAAGGAACGAGGGCAAGCGAAGAGAGGGAAAGAGAGAGCACTCACGCCGCGCGCGTCGCCCGCCGCCGCGTCCGCGTCCAGCGCGCCGCCCGCCGCGTACTGCGACCGTTCAAATACACGATTTACAAAAGAAACATAAAACATATATTCATTAATATATTAATTTTTTCATAAACCCTTCAGAGGTAAAAAAAGTAATTAATTTAGTGCGGTGTAGGCACAATCTGCTGGTATAAACACGGAACAGAAAAAACAAGGGAAGTGCGATGCGGCGATTTTCGTATCGAAACCTGTGTCGCCAACCTCACACAAATACATCACACAAATACTACAAATGAACACGGGATTTGATCGGTATATTTTATTTTAATCCAAAACTAGCATAATTATCAATATCCCATAATTAAAAAATAACCTTTTCCCACTATAAATAAGATTTATTTTTCTATACGTATTTAATTATAACGTTTTATATTTTAACATTTAAATTCCGCTTCTTGTCCAGAGATGGCGGTACAAAGTCAAGTCAGCGAGTGTTGACACAAACATCGCAGATTGATGTATGCCTCAGATCGCTACTCAAACAGTGCAGTAGCACATTGAAGTTTCTTTAAATTGTGGCTCCATATTCATTTTATCGATATAGTGTTGTACATTGTACAATCACTGATTATTAAACACATTATATCGATAAACCAGCATATCGACTTTGCCACACCACCAAATGACTAGCTATAAATACTTTGAATCCAAAATATACTTTATCGTAACGTCGTAAAGTTGACTTTTAATTACTGTTCTAACAAATAATTAATATTTTGAAGTTAACTAAGATTCTTCCTCGTACTGTCATATTTGCACTTCAAAATAAAACAATACGGCATGGTGGAGGAAAACTAAGAATATTCAGAGACAGAGACGAGCAATCCGATGCGATGCTAGAACGCGACTGACGTCTAATAAACGCTGTGACGCCTGACTTCCGTTCTGCACTTTCCTTGTTTTTTATCTTCCATGAGTATAAACATAACATATAAACAAAAATTTACTATTTAAATAACAAAGTAGCTTTAAATATTTTTTACCATGCTTGTGTTCATGAATAAAATGTATTATTATATTTTTATCATCCTTAATCTGTAGTCGTCTACATGAAAGATTAAAAAATGGACAATGACTCACATCATAGTTGTCCTCCAACGTGTCCGCCATGTAGTCGGTCTGCAAAAGATTTTATTTATTAATTAACATTAAAATAAAAAAAAATGATCCAAACTAATATTATAAAGAGGAAAGATATGTTTTTTTGTTTGTGTTTGTACCGAATAAGTTCGGAAACTACTAAACCAATTTAGATGAATTTGGTAACAAGATAGTTTGAGACCCTGGGAAGGACAAGGGTTACTTTTTATCCCGGAAATCATCCCTTTACTTATTGTTGGTAATAAAATTGAAAAATGAAATATTTCAAAAGTGTTATATTTTGTTTATATTACCTCATAGGAAAACTTCGATGGATCACAGCCACCCTGAAATTTATATAAATAAAATATTATTAAAAGTCATACGATGCTATTCGTTGTAGACTTAATTGATAGCGGCGGCGGGAAGATCACCGGAATGTCTTTAGGCAACTAGAAGAAGGCGTAGCCTCGAAAGGGGTCCTCAAAGTGGTCAAGTAAGCGGTGACGTCATACAAAACAGCTTTTTGTCTAATTTAAGTAGAGATCTTCATAAGATCAACGATGAATAATAGTTTTATACCGCTCTTGCCAATTAGAATAATAGTACTTTGTTTACCGGTTTTTGGATCTTCTATGCATAAATTGTAAAATATTAACTACTGAGGCACGGAGCTCACACGCGTCGATATTACTCCTGATCATACATGTTATCGTAGGACTTTGTGATTTCAAACAATCTATACAAATAAAAATAAATGGCTAAATGCGTCGCTAAGCTCGAAGTCGGAGAACAAGCGGTGTGTACGTACGAGCGGCGTGTCGAGGCGCAGCAGCAGCGGGCGCAGGCGCGCGTCGCGGAAGGCGGGCCAGCGCGCGGCGCCCGGCGCGCCCGCCGCCAGCGCCGCGCCCAGCGCCGGCGCCGCGTCCAGCGCGCGCAGCAGCGCCACCACGTGCCCCATGTACCCGGCGCGCACGCCGCCGCCACTGGACACACACACACACACACACGATATAACGCGGCTAGATCGACAAACGCACAGGCAGGTGGCCCACTCCGGTGGGCGGTGTGCGTGCGGGTCGCTCCTGCCACGTCTCTGGCGGCAGAGTGGACCGTTAGAGCAACACCGACCGACCTCGCGCATGTATGCGTCATGCATGTATAACACGTGTAACTTTTGTTAGGTCATTCATTGATCATACTTCGATCATGTAATAATCTTCTTTATTATTGAGATTACAATAATTATACAATATTACAAAATTCTATGATCTAAAAAAATTAAACAAATAAACAAAATCTCGCAAACAAGTCGAGATATACTTAACAAATCAAGAATATTAATTATTTATTTAACTTACTACTTTAGAATACTTAGATTGTAGAAGTATTAGAAATAAGATTTAGTTATAAAGTATTTTATAATATATAAAAACAAATTAATATATATGTTAGTTTTAAGGTATATATGCTATGGGCCGCTGTTTACATATTTAAGATCCCTATGTAAAATTGGCTGAAATAAATAAATAAATAAATAAATAAATAAATAAAAAAATTGCTTTTACATCCTCTCGCTGTGACTTCTATAATTCATCAATCAAACTATTTTTAGACATTTATAAAGATACACATATTTGTATTGGAAATTGATTTTGATTTGGTTGCTTTTATTTTAATTTTTGAAATAATTACAGTTTATTTTACAACTGTAGCAAGTAAACACATATTAAAAATGTGTTTATCAAAAAATGCAATATATACAAAAAACTTACTTTTTGTCTTCATTTTCTTCAAAAGCATCCATTAGCCGATTCAAAAGATCGCAATCTTCCAGGAACTGAAAACATATTTTAATAAAAATTAATACGTAGAAATTTCCCTAATTTAATAAATACAATTTCGCTTCTTAAAAATCAAATACAATTCTCTCCTAATCGGGAATCGTACATTTTTCCGGAATAAAAAGTTATGTATCTATACTAATATTATAAAGGAGGAGTTTGTGGGATTCTGAGTTTGTGACGATGTAGGGGATAATCTCTTGATCTACTGAACCGATCCAGATGAAATTCGGTAAGAAGATAGTTTGAGACCCTGGGAAGGACATAGGATACTTTTTATCCCTTAAAATTATGCCTTAAGGGAGTGAAAATGGGGATGAAAGTTTGTATGGAGAAGCAAGCTAGGGACGAAACCGCTAGTAGCATATAAGCTACTTTTCCAGACTATATTTGTGGCTTTCATCCAGATCCATTCAACCGTTCCGGCGTGATCGAGTAACAAACATGTCAGGGGACTAATAACAAAGGCGGCAAAGTCCAGTTTAAGTCATTCACAAAAAACTAATAACATTTAAAATATATAACATATTTACTGTTACAATTTATTTTTATAAATATGAATTAGAGATGTACTTTTATTTTAAGCTGTATTTTAATGCTAAAACAATTCAGTTGACTAAAATGTTTGTCATTCTATGGGACTCGGCCGCCTCCGTCGTGGAGGCGCGGGAGGCGCGGGAGGCGCGGTACTGACGTGCGCGACGTAGCGGTCGGCGTAGCGCGCGTTGGCGGCGGCGGCGGCCAGCAGCGCGGCCACGGCGCCGTGCAGCAGGTTGTGCTGCGGGAACGCGAACACCAGCTCCAGCAGCACGCCCGCCGTGCCTGCGCACACACACATAGTCGACACGACTGAATCGGGTTATCATCCTTTGGGGCGTTTTGTTCCGTCGAATTGATTAATAGATGTTGTTAATCTGTGACTTCTTTGACTACTTTATTTTACAATAAAATATAACACAAACATAACTATTACAAAATTAATCCTGCATTTATGAAAATAAATTCCGAATCCTATTAAATAATTCATGAGAAGTAAAAGCGCCATCTTCGAATATGCACTTTTATGCATTACCTTGTTGTTGATTTTTCAATAATCACGAATTTCATTTACAATGGTATTATTTCGTTTTATATCATCTTTAAAACACTACAGTAAAAACCTTTTTGAGACTTGTTTTTAAATTTAATTGTACCAAAACGGGGATCGCAGCCGGAAGCAAAACCGAAAATGCGGTCTCCAAAATTTCCGTGTTTATTTATTTAATTAAATTAAAATGATTATAAATAATGGAGATGACTCGACGTGTGTCGCACGCGACCACCCACTTCCAACGGTTTCGAAACCGAAACTAAAACTTATCGAGACAGGATAAAATTTCTATTTTTGCGAAAATGAACTAGCGACTAACCACAGTACACCATACTTTAGTCAGTCGCCAGTCAACACTAACAGTAACCTACGTTTTACCTATGGCTTATCTATTTACTGAATTTCAATAAGTAACAAAGGCTCTCATTCCCTCTCACACACGCACGTACCGAGGCTGACGAGCGCGGTGGGCACGTCGGGCGCCTCGGCCTGCGCCAGGCGCGCCAGCAGCGCCGCCACCGCCACGCGCGCCGCGCCCACGCGCGCCTCGCCCGCCGCCGCCGCCGCCGCCTGCGGACACACAGTTACAAATATCGTTATTATCGATTGCCATTGATCGTTTACGAGTGCTATTGAAAAGATTGTCATTGGTGCTCATTGACAGGAGCCATTGAAGTTGCCGATCGATCGTTTACTGAGACGTTGACCGTCGTTGCCGTCGTTCGCGCGTCTGGCGGCAGTGAAAACAATAAAGAAACCTAGGAGTTTATTTATTGTTTTCACTGCCACGAAATAAAACGATCGAATTAAACGATTAAAAACTATAATTACAACCATGGTGGATGCCCCACGTAATGTCGAGGACCATGAATTTATTTCACTTTTAATATTAAGATCGCCCAGAGTTATGGAAAATCAAATCAAAAGATTATTCCAACAAAGATAAAAAAGTATAGCAATGAAAACTATAGTAAATATATTCAAAACTTATAACGTTTTGTATAGATTTCTCAACTATGAAATATTTTCCCGCCGTAAAAAGTACCCTATATGTTGACCCAGATAACCAGCTATCACCATACCCAATTTCATCAAAATCTGTCCAGTAGTTTCCTCGTGATGCGGTAACAAACAGACGGTAATAAAAATTATAGATTCGGCCTGTTTTAATAAGATTTGCCAAAAAAATTTTAATGTACAGATTCGGGTGAGTCAGAATTTTATAATATGTGTAGAAGCGCGTCGCGTAGAGAGGTAGTACGCACCCTGGCGTCGGGCGGCGGGTGCAGCAGCGCGTGGTGCAGCAGCGGCAGGTGCGGCGCCAGCGCGCGCTCCAGCGCGGCGTGGCGGCCGGGCTCGGCGCGCGCGTGCAGCAGCGCCAACAGCACGCGCGCGGCGTGCAGCAGCGCGCGCGCGCGCGCGGCCGGCGCGCACGTGAACACGCCCTGCAGCAGGCGGCGCACGGCCTCCTCCTCGCGCAGGCGCGCCGCCACCTCGCGCCCCGCGCACCACCTGCCCGGACGCGACACACACACATTTTTGCTCAATTATAATAGATACTTCATAAACATACATAATGTCATGGCTTCAGCCAACCAAAACATAACAAATACGTTAGCGTACGTATAACCGTTCACTGACCTTATATTATATAATAACTCAGTACTAGATTCCAGAGCGATGTCATACAACAGGTCGGCCGCATTGGCCGCCGCCACCTCGCGCATGCGCTCCTGCTGCCTGCTGCTCTCCTGGTCCTGGGCCGCCGCGCCGCCCCCCGCTCCCTGCTCCTCGCCCTTCCGAGGAGATGGAGGTCTCTCCAGCTCTTCTGTCTCCCCATTTGTGTTAGTGATATTTTCCTCATTCTTATTGACAACTGTGTAACAATACATTATCTCAATATACTGCCCTACAAGAGCTTCATTGTAGATATTATCAAAACACACAAACCAACACCACGATGTAACCACCAAACATGACCTAGAGTTTACTAAAATTCATTTCATAACATTCCTTTCATTTTGTAGGTAATATTTCTTATCAAATAGAAAATGTGAGAAAAAGGTCATCAAAATGTTATGAGCGAAACCATAAAATAACCTAAAACTTGCCTTCGTCTTGTTGAGGTTGTGTCTCTTCATCGGTTGCATTGTGATTAGAATCAAACTTTTCATTGCCTTCATTTTGTGCTTTTTCCTGTTTCTCAGATAGTTGTAGAGAGGTTAAGTGAGCCTCGTGAGGGTCATACGTGCCACAGATTATTTGAATGAGACTCTCAAGAAACTGGTGTTCATCAAACCACTGCAATATAATTTAATGGATATAAAAAAATATTATAATATTAAAAAAAAGTTCCTTAAAAAATAAGTTAACCAACAAGAGCAATCTTAAAGTTACTTCTATAATAAAATATTTATTCAACAATGATGTGAACAATTTATAATAAAGATAAGAGGGTTTATTCACTATTTAAATTAAATGCATCTCTGTTTGCTGAAGTGAAGTGAACAGTAGGAACAGTTATTTTCATCCTGTATATAACAAGCCAAAACTGGTAGTAATGCAATCATTCTGATAACCTTCTTAATATAATCTATACTAATATTATAAAGAGGTGTAAAGTTTGTGAGCTTGTGAGGTTGTAATCTCTGGATCTACTGAACCGATTTAGATGAAATTTGGTAAGATGATAGTTTGAGACCCTGGAAAGACATAGAATGCTTTTTATCCCGGAAATCATCCCTTACGGGGGTGAAAATGGGGATGAAAGTTTGTATGGGGAAATAACCGGTATTTTAGAAGAATATAAGAAATTGTTTATAGCCCAAACTCAGATGTGTCACTTAGACAAGTATAATTAAATCTCTAACCTCCAAGACTACTTTTATGAAATCTCCACGAGGATCCTCGAGATCTAGGAAGCACTTCAGAGTATCACAGATGCCTGAGGTGGATATGTGCTTAAGTAGATTAGGTAAAAAGTCTCTTCGTGATCTAAAAAACTCAAGTACTTGCAAACGCACAATAGCATGCGAACACCAATCCTGAAACGTATGAATTCCTTTAAATAACCATACACTATACAAGTATAAACAAGTAAAATATATATTAAATTAAGCAAAAAAAAATTGTGTTACTATCTTACATTAAGTTTCATTAAATAATAAAGTTATTGGAAAAAATGTTGAAGTTACATCTGCAACACACAACACAGCAAATTCCTACTTACTACATATTCTATATAGATATTTTGCTCATGTATATTTATTAATTTAATATTTTAACTTATTATTCTTTTCGAAATAACAAAAAGATGTAGTAATTAGAAGACCATAGATTTTAGCAAAGAATGTGACAAATATGTGATAACTATAGCTTTCTTGTAAATATCATATTATAGTAGGCGAGCCCAAGAGGGGATTTTTGTATTTACTCAAGCACGGCAGATAAGCATAAGGTGGGATACCTTGCACGCTGTTGAGTACCTCCACTGGCTGCAATTTAGTATATGGGAGAGGCTCCTGCAGGAGTGGGTGGTATTTTTGGATAGGAGAGGTGATAGGGAGTCCAAATATATAAAATTTATTTTGAGAAAACGAAAGAGTCCTCTGGATAAGTCCGCGCGTCTTGGACAGCCGATCAAAATACTAAAAAAATATTTTGAGAAGGCAAAAATCGTCTATAATGTTTATGTACGATTCTTGCCTCTTCGGCTTGTGGTAATCGGCAGAATATTGAATTGCACACCTTTTATTGTAATTAGCCCACCATACCTCAATCTGGAGGTTTCCAGTATTTTTAAATTTCGGCTGCCCTAGACGCGCGGCCTTATGTAGAGGACTTATATATATTGGAGGTACTTAACAGAGTGCAAGCCTTGCGCCTTATATTAATCTGTTGTGCTTGAGTAAATCCAAAAATCCCCCCTTGGGCTTTCCTACTATTAGCCACAGAATAAAGAACAAAACAAAAGTATCATATTAAGTGTAATTCATAGTTTAAAAAATGTCAGTTACCTAAAACAAAACTTGGTTTCTAATACAAAATCTATTTAAGTATACAAAATATGAAAAATCTCATAAAACT